GAAGTAATTAATAGATGCCTTGAGGGATACTTGCAGTGCTTAGCGGGAGACAGACCTACTGTATGGACCAAATGGCTATCTCTGGCTGAATGGTTGTATAACACTACCTACCATGTCACTACGGGAGTCACACCATATGAGGCCTTATATGGTCAAACCCCTCCCAGTTTGAACCACTATGTTCCAGGGAATACTGTTGTGGCAGCTACTGATACTTTGCTGCATGATAGAGATGCTATTTTGAAGTTATTGAAAGAGCATCTAGTTCAGTCCCAGCATCGAATGAAACAACAAGCAGATAAGCACAGGTCTGAGCGAGTTTTTTCAATTGGGGATTGGGTTTTCCTTAAACTTTAGCCTTTCAAGCAAGTTTCTCTAGCATTACGGAAGAATGCTAAACTAGCTCCCAGGTATTTTGGTCCTTTTCAAATCCTGCAGAAGCTGGGACCTGTTGCCTACAAACTAGATTTGCCATCTTCCTCCAAGCTGCATCCAGTTTTCCATGTCTCCTTATTGAAGCCTAAACTGGGTCAAGGTATTGTTATGCAACCTTTCCTTCCATCTACCAGTCTTGATGGGCAGCTACAATTGGAACCCATTGCGATATTGGATAGAAAACTGATCAAGAAGTATGGCAGGCCTCTTACCATGGTTTTGGTCCACTAGTCTAATTCTATTCCTGAGGATGCCACCTGGGAGACTTGGTACTCTTTGCAGCAGCGTTTTCCTCATTCCCAGCCTTGAGGTCAAGCTTCCTTTTAAGGGGTAGGGAATGATAGGAATTGTTTTGTTAGGCAGTTATGGGTAGTTGCTCTGTTAGGCAATTGTGGGGTAATTATTCTGTTACGAGATTTGTTACGAGAAAGGGAATTATAAGAGGAGAGGGAGTTACAGATAGAAGGGGGGTTGTATCTCTTTTGTTCTTGTTCTTTTTCTTTTTCTCTCTTGTTGTAAAACTCCATGGAAGAGTTCTTCCTTTCGTTTGATGAGAATTGAATAACAAAAGCTGAGTTTTTCTTTTCTAATTTTTGAGATTAATTGCTAGAAGCTTATCACTCTCTCTTTCAAGCTCTTCTTTCCCGGTTTGGTTGATTTGGTTATTGATTTTCGTTTATACAGATCAAGGCATTGAGAGAAGGCATAAATAGTGTTGGTTGGCGGCCCTTAAATTGGTGAGTTCCTGACATGAGTTTCTTCAATTTTACTTCTTTTGCAACAATTGAAGGAACCTTAGAGACACAAGCAACCCACATGAAGGAAACATTTTCAACTGACAGATTTAACTTCATATGTTGCTAAAGTGGATTTTGAGTTGGTTCTAGTTTTCTATATGTCAAATCACGTATTTGATTCATTTGAATATTTTCATCCATTCTTTATTTCAGTGATTGATGAGTTGTATATGTTGGAATGTATCCCACATCACTTGGAATTGTCCCATATGTGTTAATTATAAGGTTCTAGTTTCTCTCTCCTTAATACCTGGGTTTTAAGGAGAAGTGTGGGCTAGACTTTTCAATTTGGTATTAGAGCTTAGTTGGGCCTGTGATTGGGGTGCTGTTTGTTTGGCTAATGTACCTCTTGGTCCAAGAGGGTGTGTTGGAATGTGTCCTACATTGCATGTTGTTTGTTCGGCTAGTGTATGTCTTGGTCCAGAAGGGTCTGTTTGTTCGGCTAGTATATGTCTTGGTCCAGGAGGGTCTGTTTGTTCGGCTAGTATATGTCTTGGTCCAAGAGGGTGTGTTGGAATGTGTCCTACATCGCTTGGAATTGCCCCATCTATGCTAATTATGCTGTTTGAGGGTCTATTTGTTCAGCTAGTATATGTCTTGGTCTAGGAGGGTGTGTTGGAATGTGTCTTACATCGCTTGGAATTTCCCCATCTGTGCTAATTGTGCTGTTTGTCTGGCTAGTGTATGTGTTCGGCTAGTATATGTCTTGGTCCAAGAGGGTGTGTTGGAATATGTCCTACATTGCCTGGAATTGCCCCATTTGTGCTAATTATGCTATTTGTTTGGCTAGTGCTAATTATGCTGTTTGTCCGGCTAGTGTATGTCTTGGTCCAGGAGGGTGTGTTGGAATGTGTCCTACGTCACCTGGAATTGTCCCATCTATGCTAATTATGTTGTTTGTCCGGCTAGTGTATGTCTTGGTCCAGGAGGGTGTGTTGGAATGTGTTCTACATCTCCCAAAATTGCTCCATCTGTGCTAATTATGATGCTCTAGTTTTTCTCTCTCTAATACTTCACTTTTAAGGAAAAGTGTGGGCTGGACTTTTCAATTGTATATGTTTGCAATGTGAAATTGTTTTTTTTTTTTTTTGATTTAATTGTTTTAATTTAGTTTTTTGCTTGATTTTGAAATATGTGCATTGTAAAGTTTTCAGTGATGTGTTGATCAGCACTATCAGATCTGGATTGTGCTTTTGGTCCTTTGTTTGGTTGTTGAGAAAACTAAGAAAAAATTATTGGATAATATAAATCTAGATTGTTGAGCACAAGTTTCTTTTGAGATTTATGATAAGAAGGAATTGCAGATTATGGGTAGAGTTGGAAATCAACCAACACAGTTTGATTTATCAAAACCATGAAGAGATTGCTCAAACTCTATTCTTGCATGCAAAGCAGACAACACACTCTCTCACTCTGTTTTTGATTTTATGTTTTTAGTTAGGAATTAGGAGTACTAGGAATTTGCAAATGTAACATCATGATCTCATGTAGTTGTGAATAAACATTTGTGCTTAAGGATTTTTTTTACTTTGTGATTACCTTGTAGAATAAAATTAAAAACAGTTTTGATTATGTCGAAGGATCCAAGTCAGTCACTTATTACTTAGCTGTGCTGTATTAGCTAGTTTCAAACATGTTTGGGCTCCATCAAAACAAAATAATCAAAACAATGTGAAGTCAAGACTGCTCCTTCTTTTCCTTTTCTTTCTTCTCCAAAACAATAATATATATATATATATATATATATCAGTATATATTGTGAGAAAAAGGGGTGACACATCTAATTACCTTCAAGAATATAGAAATCATGACAAAACTAGAGAGAGGGAGAGAGATAGACGCCTACATTTGTGCTTCAGATTGGAAGGATCATGTCTTCAATTCAACTTTTGCATGAGAAAAGAAAGTATGAACAATAGTAATACTGATATTCTCTAAATACGAACCATTTTTCTATATTACAGGTATTTTTTTTTAGTTAAATCTAACCAAATTAGCACAATTTAAAAATAAAAAAAGAAGCTATAATGATGTTTTTTCAAATGTCATTATAGTGTCAATAGTAATATTTTTAAAATAGAAAAAAAAGCTATAACGATACTAACGTGACTTCTGTTATTCACCTCATTTAAAAACGCCGTCTATAATAATCTAATGACGTTTTTAAAGGTCCATAACGCTACAGCGATGGCCGCGTCTTCGGCATTTGGTACTAAACGTCACAAAAACAATCAGAGACATTTTTACACCTATAAATGCTGCTAAATGCGGAATTTCTAGCAATGCCTGATATAAATTTTTTAACTTTAAAATTATAAGGGCAACGGTCCCTATAGTTTAGGCCTTGTATCACTTTAATTCCTGACTCTTTAATTATGACACATTACATGATCATCATCCAAACACATAATAAAAATTAATTTGATAATAAATAAATAAATGTCTAAAAAATTTATCAATTTTACATAATTTATCTTTGGTAGGTAAAAATTATTTTAAAATTTTTTAACATTTATTTTTTATCAAATTGATGACTTTACACTTAAAATTGAATAATGGTATCTTAAATTGTTCTTATTTGGAACAAGATTCAAAATTAAAGATCAAATGTGTTACAATTAAAAAGTCAACAACCAAAGTGACAAGAGTTCCAAACTATAAAAACTGTTAGCGTAATTCGTCCAAATTATAAAATAAAAAAAATAAAAAAACATATGAAGACAAATTTATTTACAAAATTAACATTCTTACATCATTCTTGTAATTATATATATATATATATATATATATAATATAAACTTTCAACAAAATTCACATTCCTTCGACAAAATATATTTTCTAAAAAATATTTGTAGTAGTTTTTTTGAGTTTGGTACTACAATCTTACCAATATCATCACCGCTACAACCCTACTGCCACCACCACTTTCACCTATTCACTGCCACCCATCAGCACCTCTGCCACTTGCCACCTCACCACAACCACCACCACACTACTGCTACTACCATCACCACCTCGACCAACCTGCCATCTCCACCTCCATCTCCGCTGATGTTAATTTCAAAGTCAACCAAATATAGAAAAACGTTTTCTACGAAAATATTTTTTGAAAAAAGATTTCTGTAAAAAATGTTTTCTTCAGAAACAAACTCAGTGTAGGAATAGTTTTCCGTAGTCAAAAAATCACCATATAATGGGTTGCCTAAAAACATCATCAGCTAAAAAACAAAGCTGACCTGAATGAAGCATAGATTCATAATTCAGCAACAAGCACAGAACAACAAGCATATCCCAGGATAATAACAAAATTTCTCCAAGTAAAGGATACTAAAAATTCAGTCAAAGCCATAAAGTCTCAAAAAACAGCTATTAACTTATGGCTACATGAACAGCTCATATAAGTTACACCAAACAACTATTCATTGTGACAATGTCTTCAAACCATTGACCACCGAAGGACCTTTATTATTGTTTACGATTAAAAACAGAAACGAAAAACAAGAAAAACAAAAATGACACAGAAACTATGTACAGCGCCTTAGTTCAAAGTCAACCAAATATAGAAAAACGTTTTCTACAAAAATATTTTTTGAAAAAAGATTTCTGTAAAAAATGTTCTTCAGAAACAAACTCAGTGTAGGAATAGTTTTCCGTAGTCAAAAAATCACCATATAATGGGTTGCCTAAAAACATCATCAGCTAAAAAACAAAGCTGACCTGAATGAAGCATAGATTCATAATTCAGCAACAAGCACAGAACAACAAGCATATCCCAGGATAATAACAAAATTTCTCCAAGTAAAGGATACTAAAAATTCAGTCAAAGCCATAAAGTCTCAAAAAACAGCTATTAACTTATGGCTACATGAACAGCTCATATAAGTTACACCAAACAACTATTCATTGTGACAATGTCTTCAAACCATTGACCACCGAAGGACCTTTATTATTGTTTACGATTAAAAACAGAAACGAAAAACAAGAAAAACAAAAATGACACAGAAACTATGTACAGCGCCTTAGGCATGGTTAAACTGCTGTCCAGCTGATGGAAGCTAATTGAGGTTTGAAATGTCACCCACTGTTGAGGAGTCTGGTTGAGGTTATTTTCTGACTTCCGAGCTGCTGTTTAGATTGAAGTTCCTTAGGGTTGTGTTCTAGGTTTCGAAGTACAATTCTTGCAAAAATTTTGGCTTCAATTGGTGCTGCTGCTGCTGCAGATGCAACACGCAGGATCCGTGGCGCTCCAGAGTTCTGCAAAAGCGTCACATGGTGTGATGTGTGCCGGCCACCCGGAATCGTGAACTACAATTCAAAAACACATTTGTAGAGGGATACATTGTGATTAGTAAAGTTAATCCAATTTCATCACCATGTCAAAAAGAGGAAAAAAATAGCCAAGGTCTAAGAAGCATGGACGTGCTGACAATTTAATTTTTTTAAAAAAATATCAGGATACGACGTGGCGACCTGCACAAAATATATGATTTTGAAGGAGGGACTAATAGGTATAACACTATATTAAATTTTTTTTAACACTGTTTTCTCTTAATCAGTTCAAACTTCTAATATGCGATGAACTAAGAAGCACGGACACTTCTAAGAATGTGACATATATGTGTCGTGTCTGTGTCGGACACCGACACTCTTTGGACACTCTAAGGACACGTGTCCGACACTCTTCAAAACGTGTCCTATTTTTAAAATTTTTTTAAAGATCCGGACACTTTTTAGACACTCGGAGGATACACATGTCTATTGCTTAAACACACGTGTCTATCGATTAAACACATGTGAAACTAATTATAAGTTTGAACAAAACAACTTTAAACACAATAATAAAACAAAAACCATATAAATTTATAGAAATTAGTGTCATATTACATTTTTTATTATCTATGAATGATATATTCATATATATAAATATATAAAATCGTATATTTCATGCATGTTCCCCACTTGTCGTGTCCTGCATTTTTTGAAAATTAACGTGTTGACGTATCCATATCGTGTCATGTGTCCGCATCCATGTTCATGCTTCTTAGGCGATGAACATGGGTGTCTTTAAGTGTCCTCTAAGAAAATAAATAATAATATGATACAAATTTGAATGTGTGTTTGATAGATGTTGAGAAGTGTCCATTGAGTGCGGGTCTTGGACATGGACACGCACCTTCTTAGAAGTGTCTATACTTCTTAGGCCAGGTTCATTTCTACATTAGAGAGAGAGAGAGAGATGATCTACCTGGAGAAGTGCAAATACAGCACATTCCTTGAGTATGGAAGACGGATTTCTTAGCATGGCAACAAACCTTCCAATCTCAGCTTGACTGAGAAAAATAAAAATGATAACAAAAGTTGAAGTTAGAAAATTCAAGAACTAGAGAGGAAATATGCAAGCTTACAGACAAATATGGCAAATTTAATTAAAGCAAATATGCCATCTTCTTCAGCTGTAATTATGACATCCCGAAACAAACTAGAAATTCCAATTAAATTCTAAAAGCAAAACAACGCATTTTTAGAGTGGAATTTCATAAAAAAGTATTTTCGTGACCAAATATGATGCAGTAGTGGAGACCTAAATAGAACTAGAACATGAGAGAAAACAAGGTAATAGGAACTTAATAATAAAAATATTACTTATTTTTGGTCCAACCTTCGCAAACAAAACCAAACCAAACTATGCTCTATGTCCCAATCAAGTGGGGTCAACAAAATGAATCTTTTTAGCCATTCTACCATGTCAAAGATTATATGCTCATTTAAATTAAATAAATTTATATTTTTTTTTACTATTGCATTTCATGTCATTTTTAGTGTTTCCTGTTACAACTGGAGCAAAATATGAAATTATTTGAAGGAGTCTATAGTTTTTTTAATGTTATCATAGCTTTAGTTTCCTTGTTGAAATCATAACTTAACCTTTTAGTTTAACATTAAGCGTTTGTTCATTTCTCACTCAAGTTCAAATGGTTGTCACATTTTCCCCCGAACCTTTAGGTTAAACCAATTTAAGTTACTCTTCGCCAGAGGAAGACTCAAAGACCTTAAAATTGGAATAATTTCTGATACATATCAAACAATCTTTCTAGACAATGGGCATACAAAACTAACATCAATAGGAGCCCATATCACTCAGGACCTCAGGTTATAGTATAACACAAGTGGTAATATTGAATTAGCTGTACATGATATAGCTGATTTGGTAGAATCTATGATACCAGAGAGAGAGACACCTGCATCTCAGATGACCTGCCTCTGGAATACGAGCTGATTCTGCTACTTGTGTCAACGCTGCAGGGCTTGATGATGCAGTGGCAGCAGCAAATGTTTGTGGATCATAAAATGAAAGGACAAAAGCTTTAATGTGCCTCAAAGCACACCTCCTAGCCTCATCTAAGCTAACACTTTTAGATGTGCTTTCTGATGAAGTCCCTATCTGTACAAATTCATCCATTCTGTATACAAAATGCATAAATATTAGAACATGCCATCCTGTCACAATAAAAAATAAATAAATAAATAAAATAGCAGACATCTACCCAACATGTATTCAAACTCAGAAGAAACAACCGTCTCCAAAAGTATCACAAACACAAAAGAAACAGCAGCCACTTGGAATAGGGTTTTCTTGGGTGAGGATGAGACTGAAAATTTGCAGAAGACCACAGAGCCAGAGGTCTTCTGTCATCAGAGGTCCTTCAAAGGAAGTTGAATGGAGGGTTTTCGAAAATAGGGGGACAAGGGAGCTTGTGGATTTGGGTCACAGAAACAAAAAATATAGGTGGCCAGGTTGGTTTGGGCCTTCTGATTCTAGAACAGCTGCAGGGCAAAAAAAATAATTATAAGTCCACTAATAGGCCCAACTAGGTCATAAGTTCAGGCCCTCGGGAAGAAGTTTGCAGCTGCAAAAGATAAAAGGCCAGCAGGAGTAGAGGATAAAACTCAGAATATGAGTGATCCAGAGGCTGGGCTTTACCATATATGGCCCAGTGGCCCACAGTTCAAGCAGTACTGATGAACCTTCATTAGACACCAAGGTTTTGACACCAGATTCCAGAAACATACTATTCATCGTTAGAATGTAAGGAGTTTTATTTTCAGTATCCCCTTTTGATGCTTTTTAAAATACTTTGCTGTACTTATCAATATTATGTACATATATACAAGGAGTTTTGTTTGCCACATTTAATGCAGCCGGAAATTGATTTAGCCCCGACATTCCAAGCAGCAATCTGACAATAAGGCGTATCATTAAGCTCAGATTTTTGAATGGACAATAAAGTTTAACTTTGTTAAGTCAACAGAATAAAATAAAGTATGCTTCTCATAGTTATTCAGGAAAATTTTGCCAGTTTCAGCAAAAGACAGTATACAACATGTTCTATTACAAACAGCCAAGCATTCTGATTAACTAGAAGAAACCTACATGGTTAAATCTAGCAAATATAGTAGGTAAAATAGAGAAACGTTTCAGATCTAGAACTGGCAGTTGATGGGGAAAGTACATCAAGTAATAATTGAATAAAACAAATCAGTCTCCCAACCCAAGTTACAAGAACACAGGATTTGTTTGGAAATCTAGGGAAGAATGAAGATGATTTCTACATAAAAACAAGAAACATTAATAATGTCAACAAGGAAAAGCATTCAATGAAATCAGAATTGTTGAAAGAGGAAAGGAGTATCATATATATATTATTTGGTAAGATACCGAACCAAGATATGATCTATTACCTTCCGTCAAACATGTATGTCAATGCCAATGCAGACATGAAACGCGCCATTTTAGATACTGACTTACAACAAAGACGAACAAGAGCTGCCACTCCCCCTTCATCCACTATTCGGAGAGCATTACCAGGGTTGAAAGCAAGATTCCAAAGAGCTCCAGCAGCAGTCTCGTGGACATCCTGATAGAAAATAAGTATATGAAAGTTCAATTCATGCACAAAGCATGAAGACAGAAATAACTACTTTTTTTTTTTTTTGTGAGAGAGCTACAGAAATAACTACTTATTAGGTGACACAACAAGAATTTGAATGTAATTTATTCAGATTAAGTGTCTGCACACAAGATTATACAAAGAAGAATTACCAATCATCACACAAGCATAAATTGTATGCAATGATCACTGTGCTACAATTCCAAATCTACTGTTTCACTGATCAACCCGAAAGACTAATCATCTTTCCAGTTTACAAAATGTCTTGATCTCATACTTCGTACAGAGTCTGCACCCCTTTGTGTGCTTTCTTAACAAATGTTTTGGTTCATTTACCAAGACAAATGTCACTTCTCTCATCTCAAGTCATGATTACCAAAATTTTATTAGCAATTAAAGGATGAACCATCTATATAGCATTCCCACACTTTTGGGTCATGATGATAATGATAAGAATCAACACAAACTGACAGCTACCGAGGAAGTATATCAATCCCCGCAGTTTTTCACCAAGCAATATAGTTTTTCATCCCACTTCAAAATCAGTGTCATAACGTTGTAGAGGACACTGTATGGTGGTGTCATAACGGTGTAGAGGACACTGTATGGGGGTGTCATAACGTGGTAGAGGACACGATATGGTGGTGTCATAACGTTGTAGAGGACACTGTATGCTAACCGGAAGCAAATGTCGGGACAGTTTATGGGGTCATGTCGGACCGTTGTAGAAGGCTAACCGGAATCAAATGTCGGGACAGTTTATAGGGTCATGTCGGACCGTTGTAAAAGTTGCACCCTCAAAAGGTGTGCCCAATTTTTCAAAAGGCGTGCCATCAAAAGGCGTGCCCAATTCATCAAAAGGTGTGCCGGACATGATGGCGAGGCACGTGGGCGCCTTGGCTTGCGTGCCCGTTTGTCGGCTAGTGGCAAGAGGCGCGCGATGCGCGTGGCTGCCTCGGCTATAAGACGGAGGCTGAGGCTGAGGCAGAGGCGGAGACAAAAAACTTGCGAGAGATATTCTGAGAGTTTCTGAGAGAGATTTCTGAAAGAGGTATTCTGTAACACTCTGTTGTCTGAGAAAATGGCCTCTTCGTCCCGCCCTCTGCTTACTCTCTTTCCCGACCTCAACGAGGCCACAAGAGAGATAACTGGTGCGGTGTCCCGTGAACCTCAACCAAACAACACTGGGTTTGCTCCGTTGAATTTTCCAATGCAGTCGGTGGAGCAAAAAATGGCAGTGCAGTCGGATGTGGAGGCCAATCAGTATACTCTGAAGGCATGTGTGGAAAGCATGACGGCGGTCACAAACTTGTCGAACCGGCTGCAGAGTAGGACAAATGAGGTGCAGCATTTAAACTCCCAACTGGCTCTGCTCCAACGCATGTATAAGGATGCGCGAGCAGAGATGAGTGTGCTAAAGGCAGAAAACAAGGAGCTGAAGCGGAAGGCCACCGTGATGTTCCGATTTGGAGGGAATTAATGGCTTTGTTTGAGAAAGCCAACATCAAGCCCAGTCAATCAAGAAAGATTGGAGAGGAAGCACAAGGGAAAAGAGCACAACCTAAGCCCCAAATGGCCTCTCAACAACATGAAAAAGTAAGTGAACCCGTATCATTTTATAGACCTCCCACACTCCAAGAGAGATATGAGGAGGGAATGAACATAAATCCAATGTTTGAGAGGGAACAACCCACATATCATACAAACCCAGTATTTAATTACAATGTAAATAATATGGGAATGAGACCTGGGGGGCAATTAAGGCCACAAATGTATGATAATCTTGTATTTGAAGGGCCTGGTTATCAGGCCATGGCAGAACAAAGAAATAGGCTATTTAATCAAGTAAGGCCTCAAGATGCAACGGATTATACCATGCCTCAGCCATATTTTGAACCCTACATGATGCATCCAAGGCCTAGAGGGCCTGGTCCTCCTAATCCTTACTTCCAACCGGAGGTTGAAGGAGGAGGGCAGCAACAACAATACTTAGAACCTCAAGATATATATATATATATATATATATATAAAATAAAATAAAAAAAAAGGTGGGGAGAGACATGCCCATGTGGGGCAATTGAGAATTATTATTATGTTATGGGCATATGGCGGAGGAACGAGGGAATCGGTCAGGAGAGTGCAAAAGGTAACAGAAGATAGGTTGGAAAAGTGACCAAGTAGTGGGTGAGGTTAGTGGGTGTCCTTGAGTGGAGAGAGAGAGAGAGATTTACACCATCTTCAAGCTCTTGTCGATGGCATGCCTATTCTTCTCGGCGTGTCTTTGTATAACTGCAGCTCCAGAGTCAAGCTTCTGGGATGTGGAGTTTCCGTATGTTCAGCAATGAAGATGTTACGATTGGTGCATGGATGCTTGCAATGAATGTCAACCATGAGGACAACCGACCCAGCAAAGATCCGCCGGAGTAGTCGCCGGAGGAGGATTGCCAGAAGATGGCGTATGTCCAGCTTTCTCGAGCACCCTCGATGAGGGCTTGAAGGCGTTGCTTGGAGAGGCGCTTGGTTGAAGAGCGGCGGCGAGAGGTGGTGGTTCGCGGTGGTGGAGTCGGAGGAAGACAGCGGTCAAGAATCTGTTTGGAGGGATTTTCACCTGATGATGCATATCCAATGGGAGCTCCATTATTCTTGGAGACACCTCGGCCGCCTTCTCCACTTGCCCAGATGGAGGTTCAAGCATTTGATGAGGTCATGCCTCTAGATGCCTTGACAGATGATGAATCCTTCCCAGTGTCTTGGTTGGCGGAGAAGGTTGAGTTTTGTATATTGGAGTGTATGCAAGATCATCCTCATATTCGTTATCGTAATTAGCAGTAGCTATTGCAGCAGTGGCAACAAATTGGGATGGATGAGGTGTCTCAGAAAGATCCATCAATGGTTGAAGGTTTTGATTAGATGGTACTTGAACGAGTGGGGTTGCTCCCGCCACTGTCCTGTAAACTTTTGTGGTCAATTCAGGTGCCATGACCTCTTTATAAGCTGCCGGAGGTGTGATAACGGAAGTAGGAGGAAGCATTTGGGGTTGACTCGGAGCAGTAGTTGCAGTGTCAACTAAATTACATTGCAGTGGTTGGAGATTTAGGCTTCGAAAGCGCCGGAAATTTAGGAGGTGAGGAAGATGGAACAGCCACAGCCGCCGGAGTTTTGGTCGGAGAAGAAGCCGGAGACTGAGCTCCGACGCCGGACACTATGAAGAACAGAAATGCAAAAGCGAACGCAGGATTTCGAGCCATGGCTTGTTCTAGAAAGAGAAAGTATGAGAGAGGTCACAAATTGGTTGAGGTCCGGCGGGCGGTCAAGTATGTATTTATTATTGATTGATTGTGTTGTATTACAAATCAGAGTGGCTCATTATATAGGAGAGGGTTTGGGTAGTAGGTGAGGAGTAGGTGAGGGTAAATTGGTGGTAGGTGGAGTGTAGTAGGTGAGTGTGAATGGTAAATTCTAACAGATTAAGTGTCTGCACACAAGATTATACAAAGAAGAATTACCAATCATCACACAAGCATAAATTGTGTGCAATGATCACTGTGCTACAATTCCAAATCTACTGTTTCACTGATCAACCCGAAAGACTAATCATCTTTCCAGTTTACAAAATGTCTTGATCTCATACTTCGTACAGAGTCTGCACCCCTTTGTGTGCTTTCTTAACAAATGTTTTGGTTCATTTACCAAGACAAATGTCACTTCTCTCATCTCAAGTCATGATTACCAAAATTTTATTAGCAATTAAAGGATGAACCATCTATATAGCATTCCCACACTTTTGGGTCATGATGATAATGATAAGAATCAACACAAACTGACAGCTACCGAGGAAGTATATCAATCCCCGCAGTTTTTCACCAAGCAATATAGTTTTTCATCCCACTTCAAAATCAGCTAACATGATGACCTCTTGACTAAAGAAAACAGACAGTGGATAAAAGTCAGGTAAAAAATAAAGCCACGTAAAAAAATTTCCAAGTCCTGATAAAATGATCAAGGCACATAAGAAATTTTAATGAATTAGCCACACCGTAAAGTTTTCATGACTAACAAGAGGTCAAGTCCAACAAAAACTTTCACGCAGTTGGATACAATACAAAACAAATCCTTTATACTAAAAGAAATTCCTGCTATGAAAATAGAGGCCTTCCTCTGTGACTCTTGAAACCATCACAAAGCCATGCAATAAAATAGAGGGCTTTATAGAAATTTCACTAACATAAGAATGAAACTGGAATTCAGGAGCTCAGAGATTTCTTACAACAGAACTATACAAGATTTTGCACCTTGTCCACAATAAAACTGTTAAAATCCACCTACTACACACCTACCACTACCACCTACTACACACTCACCTACTTCACCTACTCTCCACCTACTCCTCACCTACTCCTTACCTACTACACACTCACCACTACACACTCACCTACTTCACCTACTCCCCACCTACTCCTCACCTACTCCTTACCTACTACACACTCACCCTCTTCTATATATAGGAATCATGAATCATTGTAATAAAAATCAATACATCAATCAATAATACATCAATTTTAACAAAAACTATACTAGCTTTCCTTCGACATGACAGCTATGCATTTTATTGACTTTGCACTAATAGATGAAAGTGTCTGAATACAATTGTTCTACTACATTGTACATTTAGCAAAACATACATTTAACCACATTGAATAAATTAATACCAGAACCATGCTTATGGCTAATGAATAACAACCTAAATTTAAGTTTGAGCAATAAGCATGGAGTTTTTAGAATTTCTTTTAAGGATTTTTGTACAACTTGTTAACTACTATCACATAATCTCAGAAGGGTCAAATTAAGGCCTCATTTCCAGTCTTTATTTGCCGCTTCCCATTCATCTTGTCTAACTACACAACCCTTTCTTCTCAACAATAGGAGCAGACCCATCTTCAACTATCAGATAACAGAACACCTTATAGTCATTATTTAAACCGAAATTCATGAGTGATAAGGCATAGACTGCTTTCCATAAGATGCAGGCATGAAGAGAACCAAAGATTAAATACTGATATGCCAATTTAATGCACAACATATCCCCATTTTGAGGTATCTAAGGGTAAACTGGAATTACCAAGCAACCAACCATGTCAGTTTGTGATTTTAATCTATCAGACAGACACAAATGCCTAACTGAAACGGCTTCAAAATTTCCATATACATTGACTTTTCATGAATAAAAGAGACAGGTTCAAATAATTCTAGAAGTAACCAATAAAAGAAAATTTTATTCAATACAATATTAAGTAAATCCAATACTTACTTCAGCATCAGAGCGTGCGAGCGCAATCAGAGGTGGAACTCCTCCTTCTCGTCCAATAGCAATGCTAATACAGAAACCAGACAGACAAAAAAAACTTCTGAAAACAAAACTAAAAGCAGATATTTATCTTTACTGAATTAGATGCATATGATTATATAGCATGATAAAGTATGACATGACAACAACCAAAAACAGGAAGATGGAAAGAAAATATTTCTTATTTTGGGTTTCTCAAATTCAGGAATCTTTTGATGATGATGATGAATTTCCTTTAATCAGATCGAAGTTAACAAGCTTGAATTGTCTGACCTTTTGAACTTTCACTTAACTGCATCTGATGGGAAGCGGAATACGAGAAGAGGGAGAGAAACATACAGCAGTCACAGCCTTTTGCAAAATCAATATCTTTTTAATCAAAACTAATTATTAAAATGCTAAAACCCTAATATTAGGACCAAAACCCTATTCTAATTAGGAAACTAGCCTAATGTTATTTGGAAACAAAATCAGCATCTCTTACTAATATTTATGTGATATATCACCTTAATACGTAATAAAAATAATCTACCAATGACACACACGAGATCAAAAGATCTTCGGGCCCACGGGCTTTCACCCTAGGATTCCAGATCCAATAATTGGTTTCTAGTCAGTAGAGGGTTCCACCATCAGCATCCCTATCTATTACAAAAATATGCCTACTTGCATTAAGAGCATCTTACTCTGGTCGACCATGAGAACATCAACACTTCAAAAAAAATGGCTGTCAATTAACACCAAACTGTAAGCCTCAAGTTTGGAATTGTTTAAATCCATGCCCCGAATTTCTGTTTGACAATAACAAATCATGTTTCTTAATTTTCTTCCAACTGTGATTATTATTGTCCTTCCCTTCTCATAATCTTCTAGTTTATTTCCATTTCATTGACCAGAATTCAAATCTTTACAACTAAACCCAGTTTCTCCACGTGCCCAGCAACTTTAATGTGCTTGTGACAACTAGACTGACACATCAGATGGAAAGATAAGATGGTAGAAATAGATGGTCATCTCTCCCGTCTTCTACTGTACTAGACAGACCCTGAAACCAATCTAGCTCAGTAATGCAGGTGCAATCTTTAGTCTTTCTCCAGCAATTCATACAATCTTCTGTATATATATTTATTTTAAAAAATTATGAGATAGATTTGGAAAGGGATTAAAATAGAAGAAAAGAGAAACAGAATCTGAATAGACATGAAAGAGGATAGACAAGGAAGAAATAAAGAAGATGTAACCGAGAGAGAGAGAGAGAGAGAGAGAGAGTAGACACATGAAAAGAAATTAGATTTAAAGATGAAGAAGAAGAGAAAGCGGGAGAAGGCAAAGGGAGAAGAAAGTGACGGAGAGAGTTTCCCTCATCATTAGGAAATTAAGTGCAAGGCAAGGAAAGGAAGGATGCCTTGCTTACCCTTCCACATGGGTACCTTTTTCATCCACCTCTTTCAATTTCCTATACCTCTTGCATAACAAAGAATAAATTTAAATAATTATGCAGTAGCATAGACACAAGACGTAGGTCGGTTGTGCCAGAAAACATGCTGCAAAAGCATCTTTTTTGTAAACCATGAGTGTAGTATGACTTCAATTTTCCAAATCTCCCAAGCAGCTATAGAGCCTCTTGGATTAAATTTGACACATCAAGAACTAATGACTAGACAGTCTTGCTGTCTGAGTGAGGTATGACAGATGGAGGGAAACATCACCATAATTTATAAATGATTAAAACCACTTATAAACTCAACATTGGAAATATGCCCCTACTTAGAAATGCATTTATGTAAATTGATAAAAATAAAAATAAAAAAATAAAATAAAATAAACAGAAGAAGAAAAAGAAATGCATTTATGTAAGAAGTTGGCTGTAGAAACAAATTGGTTATACAGAAAATACAGCTACACAGGATCAAGTAATGCATTACACTAGATGAAACTATAACACTATATATTACTACAAAAATAAAGTAATAGTAGCAGTAGTTGTAACGATAATAACAATAAATAATTACAGTAATAACCTTTTAAACCTACCTATTTGCTTCTGAGACTGACAATCCCCAGAGAGCACCAGCAGCCCTCTCCTGAAGACCTGGAGAGGCATTTGAACAAGACTGTGCAAGAGCAACCTATATAATCAACATGAGAATGAAGCTTCAACATATCGTACAACTTGCATGCAACATAACCTTTTAAACCTACATTATTTCTCAACAGGCACTTGCACAGAACCTCACCCTAATGAGGGATAAATGCACAAACTTAAGAAATAGCAACCAAAATTAATGCGTAAATTGGTGCAAAAAAGCAAGTATTGTGTTCTCCATCAATGACAGGAAACTGACATAATCCTCGTGAAACCATCATTGAACTAGAATAATATGCTTGCTTTAGAATGTGTGGTCAAATATAGTAGAGGCTGCACAAAGATGTAAACAAACTGCATTTATGCATCTATATACACATAGAAAACTCAGAAGAATGCATCTATATACATATAGAAAACTCAGAAGAAAGAAAACTCATAAGTCAATATTTACTCCCTTCCAAATTTAAGCAATATAGATGGTTTATGTGATGTCCTGGGTTTTGGGGCTTGAATAGTATTGTGTAGTAGGATAGTATGCTTTTCTTTTGGTGTTCGGTTTACCGTATTGGGTCGTTGAGATTCCCTTTCTACTCCTACTTAACCTCTTGTAACTTTTCTGGGTTGTAAACTTTGAGTTTTGAGCATTGGAACTTGCCTTGGTTTGCAAAATCACTTTCTGAGTTCTGGGCAAAACCGCTCGTGCGGAATGAAAACCTGCCGAGCAGATCCTCACAGGGTTTTTTCAAACTTTTCAGTGGGCAGAAAACTGCTCGAGTTGATTTTGAGTCCCGCTCGAGCAGATTTTGGGTGATTTTTCTGGGTAGCTCTCTAGTGCAATCCGCCCTTAAGGAAAAAATTTCCGCTTGTGTGGATTGGGAATTCTGCTCGTGCGGAACTGAAATCGCTCGTGCGGATTTCGGTGCGTCTGTGTCAAAATTCGTATTGTTTTCCTCAAAACTGATGCCAAAAGTGTTTTTTGCACAGATTTTCTTCTCTCTCTCTCTCTCTATTCATCTATTCTTTTCCTTCTCTCTAAAAACACATCCAAATCTAACTTTTCTCTAAGATTTAGCTCAAATCTTCAAGAGTTTGATGGGGCTTTCTACACCGAATTGAAGAGAGCGACGAGGGCTACATTTATAACCAATTAGATCGTGTTTTTGTCGACTTTGATTTCTACGATTTTCATCATCTTCATCTTCCAAGCTTGAGGTAGGGATAATTTTTTAGTTATATATACATTTTTGCAAGTTTATACATATTTTGAGTATTTCATTGTGTTTTGAGTTATGATTTTGGGTTGTTGAACCCTAGATGATGTTAGAGGTAGATTTCATTTATTTTTTCCCAAATTTTTTTGATAATATGAGTATGTTCAGGGGTGTGGGTGTTGTTTTGGAAAAATCTTTTCAAAAATGGAATAAAAACCTTGTTTTGGTGAAAACCTAGAATTTTGGAATTTTGGAATTTTGGGAAAAAGTAGTGATATTGTGAAATTGATACTTGATAATTTGCCATGTGAGAAAATGATGGAGGAAATTCTATAGTTGTATTAAACGAAGAGATTTCATGAGGATAATGAGAAATTGTAGAATTGGAAAGCTTGAGCAATAGTTTGTTGTTGTTATTGTGGAAAGACCAAATGCTAAAAATGATGTTCAACATGTGGAGAATACATGAATGTTGATATTGTATTTTCTCTCTTGAAAAAATATACTATGATGTTATATTGATAAGAGATGTGGAATTTGATCACAATGGAAGATTGTGTGGATGGATTGAGAAATTGAGAAATTTCAAGGCATTGATATAGAAATATATTGCATTGGCACTTAATTTAATTATCATCATCTTTCGAATTGTCATTGTTGAGATGTTCAAATGAAACCTTATTATTGCATTAGACATTTGCATCGTCATTCCATTTTATCATTGATGCAATTGATTTTGAATATTGCATTGGAAAAAGTATTACTTTAAGAAAGGAAATTGTTTTGTGAAACAATATCTTATTGATTTGTTTTTGAGGTAAATACGTTGATAAGTCCGGATAGAGAGTGTAGTTGGTATTGGTTAAATTGGCCTGAGTGTCCACGGTGAAAGACTGAAAACACACGCGGAAGAAGTACCATGTGCCTTCCGGTTAGCTACCAATAAAGTAGGGATTGATAGTGCTTGTTATGCCTACTTGTAGACACCAACCTAGGGATTACCTGAGTCGTATTTACCGCCTCCTTTTGAACTACGTTGAAATTATTGAATTGTTAAATTCTTGAGATTGCATTGTGCACAAAGGTTTCAAAGGATAAAGATATAGGTTTTTGAACATGACATGGCATATACACTCATCCCATGAGATTGTACAAAATGTATATACTTTGTGAATATTTTCCTATTGGGTTTTATGCTCACCCCTATGGGATTTTGTGTAGGAAAGGATGGGGTAATCCCGCCGAGTTAAAGGCGTGAAATATGTTTTGAGAGCACAAAGCTCTTTTCTTTTGTTGTAATTATTTTTGACAAGCCAAGAGCTTTACATGTATGGGTTCAGAAAATCATTCTTGTGTAACTTGAGGGCATTTATTTGTACTTGAATTATTATGCCACATGCTATAGATTCATATACTAAGGATGTTGAATGTATACTCGCATGTGAAATATCTTTTGTAAATCTCTTGATAGTTAATGAATACATATGTTGGGGATTTGAGAATGACATCAATATTGAGATTTGGTTTCCGTTTACATTAAACAATAGAAGTTGGTGAATCTTTATTGTGTAAATTTTCAAGGTGTGACAGTTTAGGATTGCTTCAAATTTTATTTTCCTTTTTTAGTCCATGGATGATGGGCTATGAAGCATCGGCACTTTTAAAATATTTCTGTACAAATATGGGGTACTAACTCGGTAGGAGTACAAATACTGGTATAGCTGCACCCGTACCGGGTATATGAAATACATATCCAGTATGCGAAATACTTTGGGTATGGCATGGGTACAGGTTCCGTACGATATGGGTACCGGACGAACACTTTTATGGGTACATCGAGGCATAAATATAGCTTTTTAAAAATACTGGGGTACAAGAATATTATATTGTGCCTATGTTAAAAAACTCCTAAAATATATGGTATTTTTGCAAATATTAGAAATATAAAAAATACTTACGGTTTTATTTTTAACAACTCCGCCGGTCCCAAGCCCGAGTTAAGGAGAAGGGTTGTGTGTTAGGTATCCGACAGCCAACACATAAAAAAGCTGCTCGGATCCCTTACGATAATGAATCCTACTTTGAATCATTTAAATACTAGGTCGTTCCCCTCAAGTGACGCATTGCGCCTGCCTCCAAGTGTTTTGAAAAGTGAGCAAAGGGTGCCGCATCGACGCCTGGGTGCGGTGAAAAATGGGCAAAGGTTCTTGCGTTTTTCTAGACGAGCGCGGGTAAAGAAGCTAGTCCAAGACTATAAGTTTAGGGTAGCCACTTGGAATATAGGAACCTTAACTGGTAAGACGATGGAATTGGTAGATGTTACGATTAGGAGGAGAGTTAGTATAGCTTGCGTACAGGAAACTAAGTGGACGAGTGAGAAAGCTAGAGAAATTGAGGATAGCGGTTTTAAACTGTATTTATTATAGTGGTAATGATAGAGGATGGAATGGGATATGAATTACAATTGCCAAGGGTCTTGTGGAGAATGTAGTGGCGGTCATTAGAAAAAGGGATAGAATTATGTTAGTTAAACTAGTTATTGAAGGGAATATAGTGAACGTTATTAGTGCATACGGACTAAGAGGGATTTTTTAGAGCAAATGGATGAGATCTTACAGGAGATACCCGTAGGAGAGAACCTGGTTATAGGTGGAGTTTTAATGGCCATGTAGGCATAGATAAACTAGACTATGAAAGGGTGCATGATGGATACGGTTTTGGTGAAAAAAATGAGAGTGGAAAAAATATCTTAGATTTTGCGTTGGCTTCTGACCTGATGGTGGCCAATACTATGTATAAGAAGAGGGAGGAGCATTTGATAACCTTTAAGAGTGGATCAGTTAAGAGCCAAATAGATTACTTTTTAATGAGAAAAGTAAACCGCCTAAAATGCAATGATTGTAAGGTGATTCCTAGAGAGAGTCTGGCCTCTCAACATAAGATTTTGGTACTAAATTTATGTTTTAGAGATGATGGGCATTGTAGGACGAGATGGTGGGACCTAAAAGAGGATAAACTAAAAATATTTAGGAATAGAATGGATAATGAAAGTACTTGGAACATGAAAGATGATGCTAACACTATGTGGAACTCGATGGCCAATTGTATGAGGAGAATCTCAAGGGAAGTGCTTGGAGAGTCGAAAGGAACGAGACCCAGCTCTCGGGAAATTTGGTGGTGGAAGGAAGAGGTTCAAGCGGTAGTTGAGGTAAAAAAAGAGTGTTTTAAAAAGTGACAGAAAGATAAAACTGAGGAAAACCTTAAGAGCTATAGATTGGCTAATAAGGAGGTCAAAAAAGTGGTGAGAGAGGCTAAGTTGAAAGCTTATGATGACCTATGCACTAGACTAGACTAGATAGTAAGGAGGAAGAGAAAAGGGTATACAAACTTGCTAAGATACGAGAGAGGAAAACAAGAAATTTTAATCAAGTTAAGTGTATCAAGAGTGAGAATTCTAAGGTATTGGTGAAGGATGAAGAGATTAAAGAAAGATGGAAGAACTATTTTGAGAAACTACTAAAAGAGAAACATGGAAGTACGGCAATAGGAAAAGAAATAGCCAGTAATACGATAAACCAAGACTATAGGTTCTATTGCAGGATTAGGAACTTTGAAGTGGAGATTGCATTTAAGAAGATGAAATCAAATAAGGCTTTAGGACTCGATGATATCCCTATTGAAACTTGGAAGTGTTTGGGTAAAAAAGGGGTTGCTTGATCGACTAAGTTGTTTAGCAAAATTTTGTTGACTAGGAACATGCCAAACGAGTGAAAGAAGAGTATTTTAGTGTCAATCTATAAGAATAAAAGAGATATCTAGAATTGCAACAACTATAGAGAAATCAAGTTAATGTGTCATATAATGAATGCGTGGAAGAGGGTGATGGAACACCGATTGCGAGATATAACAGAGGTGTCAAAGAATCAATTTGGATTTATGCCTGGAAGGTCAACAATAGAGGCGATTTATCTTTTGAGGAGAGTAATAGAAAAGTATAGAGAAAATAAAAGAGACATTCATATGGTATTTATCGACCTTGAGAAATCATATTGTCCCGGGATATAATATGGTGAGTGTTAAAGAAGAAAGGGGTGACAAAATGTTACATTGATGTGATTAGGGACATGTATGAAGGGGTGGTGACCACTATTAGATCGCCTGCTGAAAAGACAAATAAATTTCCCATCACTGTAGGGTTACACCAAGGATCTACCTTAAGTCCTTATCTTTTTACTTTAGTTATAGATGAGTTGACGAGAAATGTTCAAGATGACGTGCCATGGTGTATGCTTTTTGTAGACAATATTGTGCTAGTGGATGAGACTAGAGAAGGAGTTAACACAAAGTAGGAGATTTAGAGAAAAGCTCTTGAATCTAAAGTATTCCGGATAAGCAGAACTACGATAAAGTACATGGAGTGTAAATTTAGTAACAGTAACAATGAAAGCAGAGGAGAAGTGAAGATTGAGAGCCAAGAACTGCCTAAGAGTGAACATTTTCATTATTTAGGGTCAATTATCACATCAGTAGGGGAGATTGATGCGGATGTGGCCCATAGGATTAAGGCGGGATGGTGTAAGTGGAGAAGTGCGTCTGGGGTACTGTGCGATAAACGAATACTCACTAGACTAAAAGATAAGTTCTATAGAACGGTTATTAGACTAGTGATGTTGTATGGGACGGAGTGTTGGGCAACCAAGAAATAACATGTAGATAGATGAGTGTGGCTGAGATGAGGATGTTAAGGTGGATGTGTGACAAGAGTAGACAAGACAAAATTAGGAATGAGTGTATTTGGGAATGGGTAGGAGTAGCACCAATAGAAGATAAGTTGAGAAAGAATCGATTGAGATGGTTTGGTCATATTCAACGGAGACCAACAGAGGCAATAGTGAAGAGATGCGATGCTGTAACGGCAGATGAGAGTGTTAGAGGACGGGATAGGCCTAGATTAACGTTAGCTAACGTTGTAAATAGAGATATGGATCTACTTAATTTGACTAACGAAATGGCCTTTGATACGGCCGCGTGGAGAAGAAGAATTTATGTAGCTGACCCCATTTGATGGGACTTAAGACTTGATTTGGTTTGGTTTGGTTTGGTTATATTGGATGTGTAGTTGGTTGATTTTGCTTCCTTTTTTTTTTTTTTTTTTTGTGATCAATGAAAGTCAATTGTTAGTAGTTAGATTAGCACCTATAGGAGTTAATCTCCCCACCCTTGTAAAGCACGAAGTGCGTGCTTTCTAATTCAACTCCCCCCAAGGAGAGTTGAACCTATGACCTCCCCCTTGGACCTTAGGAGAGTCATGGTAGCCAACTAGACTAACCCTTGTTTATAGCCTTCTTGTGAGTTGTATCCCTTTTTCATTTAGGGGTGGCACCTCCTTGGTGCCTCTTTGATTAATGACACTTACACTAGTATTAGAAAAATAAATAATAAATAAAAATGAATTTTTGTTGGGAATATATACCAGCAACAATAAAAACTATTCTTTCCAGCAATGCTAGTGTTGTCACTATCTTATAATTCACAATACGTAACTTACGATTTGATACTTTTTAGAGGCAAATCAATATTATTATCAATACATATCTTAAATTAAATGTATCTTACAATACATATACAATACGTGATACGATATACGATATGCGATACGTATGTTACAAAAATACTCAAATTTCTTTAGCAATTTTGGGAAAAAAAAAAATTATTCAAATTATTTATGTAACTTAACATTGTCAAAAAAAATCATTAACTTATTAAAAAAAATATTTTTGAGATGAGAATGGTACTTTTTATTTTATTCCTCGAATTTTTTGATATATTTATTTAATTTAAAGAATTTTGCTTCTGCAGTTTAAAGAATTATACATTGTTTAGTATTTTATTCTCACAATATATTTTGTTTTATAACTACATTTATTTTTCTACCTATTTTTAAAGGTGTTAAAGTATCTTGGAATACGTGATTCAGAAAGAAAAAAAAAATGATACACAATTTGTATCCCGATTTGACGACAATGTAGAAGCGATAGATAAAGTTTGCCTTAAAAAATTTCCTATTTGAGAAGATCCTTTTACATTTATCTATATTTACGACATACACTGTAGTCAATTAATTATTCATAACGTCACAATAACTAGAAGAGATTCCATTCATTATATGAATTTCAGTTCATGTGGCCCCACAATGCAACCTGCCAGCAGCAACAGTTCCAGTTAGCTAACAACATGCATGCGTAAATGGCAACAATTTATTACAAGGGCAGTGATCCAGATCAAGCAATGTACATACATGCTTTCCAGAAAGCATGTGAAGTCATAATAACTGCATCATCCATGCATCAATATACATTTCTAGAACCCAGACAAAATAGCCGCGTATCTTCAAGAAATGGGGTGCCCCAAACGAAAGCCACATTTATCGAGGAGGACACGCACAAAGATAAAACACATAAGCGTTGAAGGGTGAGAGATTCCTAAATTTATTGGTCAGCAACATTAACGTCAAATTTCCTGTTCTTTTGTCCTTTTATCTCTATGTTTTTTTGTTTTGTTTTGGTTTTTTGTTTTTGGTCAATTAAAGTCATACAAAAGACAATACTGAATGTCAGGGTTGTTTACCTGGAAAGGGTGGCATAAGGCAAGTTACTTAGCACATGGTAAATGATCGCCAAAACCTCTATCAAACCATTCAAAACAACATGCTACGAAATACTTCCAGTTCTAGGAAGTTTCACCTGTACCTTCAAATGCAGTGAATAAAAAAGGTTTGGGCACAAGGAGGAGAAAAACATACCAAGGCTTCAACACCACCAACTGCTGCAATTGCATCTGGATTTCTATCATCAAACGACAAATTCCACAATGCTCCAGCAGCTTCTTGCCTGTTTGAGGCGAAGACGCCACATTGTTAGTAATATAAGACCCATCTATGATAATTATTATCTAACTTGCAATAGAAAAATCAATGAAGTTTGTACATATAAAGAATGATACCAGGATATACAACTGCCCATTAAACCGACTAGAAAGATGGGGTGTTTGACTTCTATTGATGCGATTCAATTCAACACAAAAAATGGTGACACCCAAAAAAAAAATGGTGAACTTTGGATGGATTTTCTACACAAGAAGTTTTAGCTGCTATCATGTGGATCTAACATCAGCTCCAATATTTGCCTTGCACAAGGTTTGGTCCATCAATACAAGGTGTCCATCAATATTTGCCTTATTTTAAGCTTTTTCAAGATAAAACTGAAATATGTGGAAGCAAAGACCCTAACCTTTTTAAGTACAACTATTAAAGCAAGTGTTTTCAAATTTTAAGCTAAATAATAAATGGAAATAAACACGCACAGTATCATAATAAGTACTCCAATCACTAACGGCCGTCTTCTTTAATCAGTCATTATGAAGTGCAGGTAGCTAAATAAAAACCACAAGGAAATGGCATCCGAGAGAACATTAGCAGCTAAAACAAGGCGTCTGATTCCAGATCACAAATAAACTACCTGACACCTTCATGGGGCGAACGTATAAGCCGCACAAGTCCATCAAGAGCACCTGGCACTTGTCCAACAGTACAATGGTTACTACTGCTATCCCCATGGGCAGCCAAATTAGCTAAGGCACGGGCAGACTGGAAAATAATCAAAATCATAAGAAATCAGTGGATAAAAATATATGCTAAACATGGGAGATTTTGTATATGGAATGAATTAAATTACAGTACAAACATGGATTTGAGTTCGAAATTTACAAAATAGAAAACACTAAGATGTTATTTTCATGCTACTTGAATTCAGTAGCTAATAATATGAAAGAAGCATAAGCAAGGTAGCAAAAAGAAACGGATGAGCTGGTGTAGAACCGGAGAGAGAAAGATGCAACTAGGGTTTCAAAATATCAATCAAAATTCATGCACCCAAACATAAATATCTCCACACACCATCTGTTATATATAGCTACTCTACCAATAAGGAAATAGGAAAAAAAGTACAAATAATTAAATAAAACTAGAAATAATCCAAATAAGAAAACATAATTCCTAATTATAATGAAATTTCTATTTTCTTCAATTTATTGTCTTCCAATGCCTTTCTGATCCCCATCATGATCTTTAAAATGAAAAAAGGGAAAAGCAAAAGTAGCAGGATAAGAAAACTTAATTCCTAATTATAATAAAATTTCTATATTCTTCAATTTATTGTCTTCCAATGCCTTTCTGATCCCCATCATGAGCTTTAAAATGAAACAAGAGAGAAGCAAAAGTAGCAGGATCCACACACTGATCTTGTAAAAATGATGCATTCAATGATCTCTAAGTGAATTCAATCATACTTTTTTGCAATGTACAGGCAAACCATATGTGAGGGATTTTGATAGGGAAGCAACTTGCATGTAAACCTAAATTACCAACTAAACAAATAGATAGCTTTATGTATCGAAAAATTCCCACAATATGAGTCTCAATGAGAAGAGTCCGAGGCAAAAATAAGATCACAATCAGATGATTTTGAAGCATCAAATACTGACGAATATCATAATCTCCACAGTATTCTCAAGAAATCGTACAACAGTGACCTGCCCAAAATGAGACAGTAAAGTCTGATGATGGTCCATAACACCTAATCATCAAAGTTGCCTAATTATATATTATGCATGCTTCTGTTGCCCCCTAGAGTTTTTAGTTAAATCTGAATCTACTTTCTTTTTTCTTTTCCTGTTAACTTCATTTATTGGAAACATAGAACTAATAGATACGCAAATCAAAGATTTGTTTGACAATATTAAACACTAGTGCACCTGTTCTTGCACTCCTTCAAACTTGCAGGTCCGAGCTAGCATCACCAGAGCATGTACACCACCTATCAATGCAACCTCCACGCTACACATGTCATCAGCTGCCAAATTTGCCAGCGCACCAGCTGCCCGTTCCTGAAAACAGATAATAGAAACGAACCCGAATTATCACACAAAATATACTCAGTTCATACATGAACAAGGATTATATGAAGGTTTGCACATTCAGGAATAGGGTTTTAAATATCAGCCGTCACGTAATGGGATTTTAGACTGCCAATACAGTTATTCACTGATATATCAGTTGATACTGTCTAATATCAACAGATATATGACCGTATCATTGATACTGACTCATATCATGATACCATTATTTAAAATCATGTTCAAGAGGGTGCATGTGCCATGAGCACCATAAGAAAACACATACCAGCACTCCATCGCCAACAAAACACCATGTCTTAATAAGATCAACCAAAGCTTTTACACCACCAGCCTTAGTAATGGCCCCCTACAAAGGAAATTTGGGTTTATTAGAGTCTAAAAGTTAGATCATATTATGATCAAATATTTGAAAAACAAACCTTATGCTCTTCCCCGACAGAGAGATTCCATAGTCCTCCGGCAGCTTCTTCAGCCACCAACCTATTCATAGACCTTGCCAAATTTACAAGAACATTGATTCCTCCTTCCTCTGCAACAGCTTTTGCAACACTGGTATTCACAGACAAGTTTGCTATGGCCTACACATCCCAAAGATTGAAAATAAACCCACTTTGTGCGATTGTATGTGAAAATTAAGCTTAAGAATGAAAAAAATTGTGAGCGTAAGATACACTATCAATAGAATCTCATCAAGATATAAATAAACTAATTATTTATCCCAAAAAAAAAAAGAAGATAAAAATAAACTAATTAAATTGATTGTTATTGGAAAGATATTACTTCAATAAGGAGATTTCACAATGAATCATGATCACCATCACAATACTTTCAGATAAATCTTACCTTTGCTGCTTCTGACTGGAGCCCCTCCCGCCAAGATCTTGCAAGGTTTAGAAGGAGACGTATTCCACCATCCCGCATAACTGCTTCAGCCCTTTCACGGTCAATGCTAGCGTTTTCATCATCAATGACAACAAAAGTTGCAAGTCCTGTGGCTGCCCTTTCTTGCACATCCTCTTGTGAACTCTGCATCAAACCGAGCAACATTGCTGCACCTTGGCTAAGCCAGAAATTATCCAAACCCAGTACATTGCTCTCAGCGATACGTAGAAGTGAATGCGAAAGGATCCATTCAAGCCAAGTCATGATTTCATCCAAGCTCTTATCCTTGTTCTTTAAATTTCTCCAATCAGAAAATACAATCCTCTCATTGTTTGTAACACCGGCGAATAGATAAGCTAACCCTTTGAAAATGTCTGTAAAAACAGCAAGTAACAATTTCCCTTTAGAAGTAATGGTGGTAAAGCGGGAATCTTCCTCGAGAGCGGGGCACAGCAATGCACACAAGACCTTCAAGCTTTGCGAAGATGATAACATTATCAAAGCAGCAGCTGGAATGATATCAGTTCTTGAAACATCTAATCCTATTAAGTTAGGCAGTTTAATCCAATGCTGTGAAACCAAATGCCACTTCATATTTGTTGTTCCTGCAACCGAGAGGAATTGAAGTGATACAACATTTCCTAATGATATCTCATCAACATTAAGACAGTCTATGAACCCAATGTCTGTCAAATTCTGACAATGCTTAGCCAAAGCATTGATGGCATCCCCATCAACATCCCGGATACCCGAAAGCCTTAGCTTTCTAAGTTTAGGACAGCAAATAGCAATTGTTTTGATTGCATCACTGCTGATCCTTTCACAAAAATCTGGCCCAAGTTGGAGGCTCTCGAGTGCCTCATGTCGAGCTGCAATCACAGAGAGGGTAGAATCCGTAATTTGTCTGCAGTAATCGCCGCTGATTTCACGCAAAGCCCTAGCTTGAAGATGTATTATTGCGTCAGCAGATTCTGCTCCACGAAACCGGAGCTTCTGAAGATTCTTGCAACGAGAGGCAAGTGAAGCTGCTGTGGTAGCATCACATTTGTGAGCACGAAGATCCAACGATTGCCACAAAAATGGGGAGATACCTAAAGCCCTCCACGTCTGGCAGGTTGATGACAATCTTGCACGGTCACGATAATTCAGACATGAAAACAGCTGAACCACTGTATCATCAGGTAATTTAGTCCAATCCACATTCGCTACCACTTTCTGATCCAAACTTAAACCCAAATCCTCACTTTCCAGGGAACTCGGCAAAACGAACTTATCCTTCCCCTTCCGTGCCACCTTCCTGCGTACCCTCTGACTCATATCTTGATTAGTTCCACAAACCCACAAACTAAACCTGAACCCTAAAACAGTTATCAAACACACAAAAACCCAAAGACCCAAATTCTGAACCTGGTAAAGGAGCAGACAGAAACCCAGAAAGCAATACCCTTTCACTTCAAAAACCCAAGTCAACAAACCAACAATGGATGACACAACCCTAGAATCTTATACCTCTCAATCACAAAGACACAAATTCTCAAAACAGTGATGAAACTGAGTAAGACAGACCCCAGGAAAAAAAAAAATACATACATACAACCTGAAAGATTGAAATTTTTAAGCAAGTGATGGAATGGACACAAACACAGGAACCATTTCCCTCAATCTCAAAAACTCAAATCAAGAATCCCAGAAACAAATGCCCTTTAACCTCAAAAACCCTAGTTCTCAACCCACTAATGAATTCTTTAAACAAGAAAGCAGTCTACATATATAGCACATACAATGAAAGAGACTGATAACATATACAAAAATCCAACCCAACCAGCGATGAGTAAACCACCAATTTACAAATGCGTTACAGTAAAGAAAGTATAATGATTCTTCCAAACCTGAGCTTGAGCCTCGATGGTTTGTGGGTATACCCTGAAAACTTATATATAGAGAGACCTTGCAATAAATTTTTATTTCCTTTTTAAAAAGAATGCATTAAAAGAGCTTGAATTGAGGTTTAATGGTAGATAGCGATGGAGATATTGAAGAGGCAAAGCTGAGAAAGGGTAGGAGCGAATTCAGGTAGATATCAAAGAGGTGAGAAAGCAAAGACAAACCCTCAAAGCACTTGTCTACACCTCCCTCTTACACCTCTCTCTCTCTCACCCCCCTTAAATTGGTTCCACCTGTAAGAATTGTATTTTCTAACAATTACAAAGGAGGGTGAGAAGGGGTTAAGGGGATAAATTGGGCAGAGAATTGGAGATTTGGGTATGAACCATGAGTGGCTTAGAGAATCAATGTTGTGAAAACCCAACCCATGAAGGTGCTCACATCCACACCAACTCATGAACAAGCTTAAATCAACCCAACTTGAATGTGTTGGCAATATTAACCTTCAAACATGTACACAAATGGCATAATTTCAATTTTTTGAGTTATAATTAAAAAACCATGTATTTGATAACTAAATATAATATGGAATATAACTAAAAAAATTATGAGTTATAATTAAAATAATGTCATAATTAAAAAAATAAATTGATTATAATTAAAGAAGAAAATGACATAATTAAAAGTGCATTTAGTACATCTCTTCTATAGAAGTGTATATTAGAATTTTTGCATTGATTAAACTCCAATTCTTGGACCGGGCATTTATTCATAAATATCTTTTCATTTATTTATATTTCACTTAATTTAAATTATTTTTTTATATTGCAATAAATCCTATGAGTGATATAATTATTAAAATACCCTTAATAATAATAGAATGAACCGCGCATTAATGTTCATACTAACAGTTAGGGGTGTAACTCGGGCGGGCTCAACCCGAGCAACCCATGTCTAGCCTGAGTTTTTTTAGGGCTCGGGAAACAAAATCTTGTAATTTAGACGGGCTTGGACAGATTTTTGATGTCCAAATTGTAATTCAGGCCGGGTCTGAGCAGAATCAGTGGCTAACCCGAGCAATCCGAACCCGAATTGCATTTAATATATTATATAAATTATATAATATATGTATAAATTAAATTAAATAGTTGTCCTTAATATTAAAGTGATCCTCAACTTTAGCCCCCATTCCTCAGGGACCTAGTGATCTTGCACAGGGTCATAGATTCCTCGAGCATCCTATGATTGAGACACCAACTTGAGGGGGTTCATAGGCCCTACTCTTGACCTAGATTGGCATGGCAACATGGCGCCCTTCTAATCATAGCTTGCAATGGTTAGGCGAGGCGATGAGGTAGGCTAGCGAGTGGAGTTGAGTGATTCGAGTGGAGCTAGGTGTGCGAAACTAGTTTAGCAAAGCACTAAGCTAAGATTAAAATCATGCCTTATCATGTAAAGTGGTTGTTTGTTGCCTTGTGAATTTCGAGTAATTCGGGTTAATCTGAATTCAAATTATAAAGCTTGGTCCGGGCTTGGGCAGTCATGCTCGGATTGATGGTTAGGCTTGGGCACTGCCAAACACAATTTGGGCTGGGTTTGGGCAAACCCCCAATCCGACCGAACTCACCCGAGTTGCACCTCTACTAACAGTATGAATGTTTCGTGATGTAAGCATTCACATTGTCGATGTAAACATTCACATTATCAATGTAAATATCCACACGTTATTGTGAACATTTACACTGTCAAATAGGAATGTTCTTATCACCAAATTACTAAGAGTTCAAAAAATATTTGTAAAGGTAAAATTGTCCATAAAATATCTTCAATATGATAATTAGGATTTGGTGGATGAAATATCTAAATAATATGACTTATTGGAATACAAGAATATGTTATAAACTAATTGGAATACAAGCATTTGAAAGATGATTTTCTAATAAATTCTCCTTCTTCTTCGAAAGGCATTTGGTTTAGTGGTTGTATAATATTTTTTGAGTAATATTAGATTTCATGAAAAAAATATTAGAAAAAAATTTACAAAATTTTGATAAGTAACAAAACAAGAAAAACGAATGTAAGTACTAGCAAGAAACCCATGATATGCGCGAAGTAAAAAATTTGTACTTTTTTAAATATAAATATTATCAAATAAAAACAATTCATCATATTTATTTGAACTCTAGAAAACAATTTTTATTAAAAAAAAATAGTTCAGTAATCTTAACCTAACTATTAAAATTGTAATTGTTAAAAAAATATTAAATTTTGTTAAGAACTATTATATTCTATGTCGATTAGGTAAAAGCGTCAACTGGGTTAAAGTCATATTGAGCTGAACTATAGAAAGATTATGTGTCAACTCAACCATAACGCAACATTAGGATTAATATAGTCATTCTAAACCTATTTTTACATTATTATTATTATTATTAGTGGGGGTATCTTGAGTGCTTTTAAATGAATTTGTCATTTTTAATAATGATTGGACCATGAATAAAATTCAATTGAAAATGATTTTTGCCTTTTTAACAAATGTTTGAGTTTAAGCTCCAAAAAACACACACACATATTTTTTTATTGTTCATTTTTTTTTCTATAAATGTTTGGAAAAAAATGTAAATAGGCAGAATGTTAGAAATAAATTATTTCAAAAAATATTGTTTAGTTCATAATCACAAAATTAAAATAAAAAAAAATACTAAAGAAAACTGAAATGAACTTGGTTGTGTTTTTTCAAAAACACTTTTCAGAAAATTCTACTTTCTTGTTTTCTGTGTGTTTTTGTTTTACTGAATTTTTTTAATATTTTAAGCAATTTTTTTTTAACTTTTTAGACATACCTAATATAAATATACCTAAAAAGTAAAAAAGTTGTGAAAAAAACCTTTTAAAAATTCACTAAATACCAAAAGTACAAAAAAATACGAGAATTTAGTACATTTTTTGTATTTCTATGTATTTATTAAAATTTTAAAATATTTTTTCACAATTTTTTTTATTTTTTAGATACATCTAAGTAAGGTGCATCTAAAAAAGTAAAAAAAATGTTTAAAATTTTAAAAATATTCACTAAAAATAAAAAAACACGAAAATCAAAAAATTGAGTTTTCAAAAAACTTAATTCAAAAAACTCAAACCAAACACACTGATTTTATAACATTTGCATTTAAAAGAATTAATGTTAAGATAATCAGTAATCTCATTCACATATATTTGCTAAATTCATATATGTGATTTACTTATTTATTTTATAAAGAAACTATAACTAAGTTCATTAATAAGTATAATTTAATTTGGTTTTCGAAAAAGAAAAAAAAAAAGAGTGGCGAAGTCATAATATTTTCAAACTCAAGTACAATTTTTTGAGTTTTTAATTTTCATTTTTTTTCTTTAGTTAAAAAAATTAATGTTCTGCCATATTTTTTTTTTATTTTTAGATATACCTAATTTAAATGCATCTAAAAAGTAAAATTTGTGAAGAAAACTAAAAAAAAATTACAAAAAATGAACAGGTCAAAAGTAAAAACAAAAAATTGACACATTTTTCGTAGTTTTTGTCTTTAGTAATTTTTTTTTTAAAAATGTCTTTGATAAATATCTTAGTTTGTAGGTGTATTTAATTAAAATATGACAAAAAAATAAAAAGAGTTTATTGAAGGCAAAATATATATATATATATATATATAAAACAATTTAAAAAAACTAAACCAAACAAATCTGATAAGTGTGTTTTTAATAAATAAATAAATAATTATTAATTTTTTGTTACATATGTACTTTCTATGTAAGAATTTAAAATACAATTTTGAAAATCTTTTCACAGTAGTCTTTCTATATCATTTTTCTTAAATTATGTCACCATATTTGCAATGTAATATTATTTGAAAATAATTTTTTTTGTATTATTTGCAAATAATTCTTAATTTGGGAAAGAAACCCCTAACCTAAATCTTTCCATATTAATCTTTCCAAAATTTAAAGTACAATTTTGAAAATCTTTCCATATTAGTCTTTGGAGGCAATATAATTAAAGAAAAATAGTAAAATCATTATCAATAGATTAATTTAAAATTAAAAATTAATTTTATTTTCAAATTATATTAATATTTCCAGAATTTAAAATACAATTTTGAAAATATTCCCTTATTAGTCTTTGGAAGCAATATAATTAAAGAACATTAGTAAATTCATTATTAATAGATTAATTTTAAATTAATTTTATTTTCAAATTGACTTTTGTAGGTGTGAGGGAGATTTCATAATCTGGCTTTGGGCCGTGGTAATGACCGGGCTAAGATTGGACCAGGCGTGTTTGGGTCAAGCTGGGCTAGGCCGTTCCAGGGGAAGTTTGCTCGGTTGAAGTCCAGACCCGATTTAGCCGAGATGATTCTCTACTAGCCCGGTTTTTATTGGTCGCTCGTTTAGCTCGGCAAGTAAGGTCCTCCGCAGATCGGCTCAACCGAGCAGGAGCTCGGTCATAGCGGGGGGCTACTAAGCTCGGTTGTAATGGAGCTCGGCGAGGAGCATTGTTTGTCTCGTTAAGTAACACGGTCGTAGGAGACTGGGTTAGTGTCGCCGGGCTGCCCGTTCGCGCCAATGCCGTTTGGCGGTTTGGTTAGGTGGTGCTTAACTGAATTTGCGCCGACACGTGGGAAAGCAGGTCCACATGTCAATGGGCGAATGGATGCAGAGGTGAGCGTAGGAAGTATATAGACGTGACTGCGCCCCTCATGCTGAGGATGAAACATCATTTGGTGAGAAACACTCATTGTGATATATCCCTATCCTCTCTCTCTCTCTCTCTCCCTCTCCCTGAGTGTGTGTGCTAACTTGACCGTCGAAGGGGTTTTCCGACAACACACCGCTGGGTAGCTCACCGCCGTTATGTTCGCAGGTCGATCAGGTAGACAAGGAGCTTGGACGAAAGGAGTACGGGCACTGCGGAATATTTTCTCCCCACACAATTGGCGCCATCTGTGGGAATTCAACAGACAAAACCTTGTCCTCCAAGCTTCTCCGGTCATCTTTTATGGCGAACCACGACGACATTCCATTGTTTGCCATCGACGGCATCATGCTAGAGTCCGTTCGGTGTAGAGATGGCCTGTCCGCCATTCCGACGATGGCTGATTTGGAGACCTCCGCACAATGACTTCCCAGGGATGCGCGAGATAAGCATGCAAGGAGTTTTGGGCGCTTTGTCATTCCAAAAGAGCGTCATCGCTGACGGCGAGATTCACACACTCAACACTTGGAAGACAAGCTGAGAGACCAAGATACCATCATCAAGAAAACGGCGACGGAGATGGAGGCAATGAGATGCCAGATGAAAGGAAAGGGCATTGCTGGAATGGGAAACCACAATGAGCACGCCCATTCCCGTCGTTCCGGTAGTCTTAATAGACGTCGCACTCCTTCACTCTTCGTTATGAGAAGCTTCAGAGCTGGAGACTACGTAGCACCGGCAACGATATCTCGCACGCAGGACAGCAATTACCACCCTTCACACCCGACGATGGCGTCGAGGTATTCTCGCTCCGACCGTTCGAAAGACTTAAGGGATGTGTTGGAGGAGCACGCTCGCCGGCAGGAGGCGCAGAGGGTGCTTGCACTGCAGTGGCTGGGCCCTAGAGGACGAGCCAGTGAAAAGGTCGCCATGCCACAACTACGCTTAGCGGCACGCGCGCCACCAAACAGAGAGTTGGCAAGGCTGAGTGCCACCCCTTTTTTCGTAGAGATCGAAAACACATCGCTCCCCCCCCGGAGTTTCGTCAACCAAAGTCCACGCTCTATGACAGAAAGACTGATCCATATATGCACGTAAGCCACTTCCGGCAGGTTATGGTTGGGCACGGGCAAAATGATGCGCTCATGTGCCTTGTTTTTCCATCGAGTTTGGGGGAGTTGGGCCTAAAATGGTTCAAAAGGCTGCCGGAGGAGAGCATCGAGGGATGGCAACAGTTAGCAGAGGCATTTGTCACCAGATTTAAGACAAATGCTAAAATGCCCAAGGAAATTGACCATCTCTTGAGAGTAAAGATGGAGCCAGACGACTCTTTGAAGGCGTATAACACTAAGTATTGGGAGACTTTCAACGAGATCTTTGATTGCCCGACCAACCTTGCAATCACTCAATATAAGCGCGGTCTTCCAGTTGGACATCGACTGAGAGACTCAATCACAATGAATCAACCGTCAACCATGGAATTGCTCATGCAACACATTAATGAGCACATCCGAGTCGAAGACGATGTAGCTACAGCTACCGTGACGACAAGTCCGGTAGTAGAGAGTAAGAAAGTAGTGCGAAAGGTTCACGCATTCGGACAAGATGATGGCCATGCAAACCACCATGGAAGAGATATAGGGAGTTCGGTTTTTGGAAGACGTCTATAAGAAGGCCGAGGAAAAGGGGCACAAAACTCGTGGAATGTAAATAGCTGATCCATTTTCAGAACATTGAACTCTGCCAATCTAAAGTTTTGTTCTTAGTTCTGTTTTTGTAACCCTTTTTGCCATTGACACAATGAAACAAGTACACCATTTTCTTGAGAATTGTTGTATTTTTGTCTCGCCAAGCGGATTTAGTGCGGTCCAAGGAGCAACTAACAATCATTTTGATGGAAAGATCAAAATTCCTTGCAAGGCGAATTTTGCTCGGCAAGAGGTTTGTTTATGGTTTTGATCAACTTTGGAATTCCTTGCTGGACGGATTTTGCTTGGCAAGAGGTTTGTTGATGATTTTATCAACTCTGGAATTCCTTGCAGGGCGGATTTTGCTCGGCAAAAGGTTTGTTGATGGTTTTGATCAACTTTGGAATTCCTTGCTGGACGGATTTTGCTTGGCAAGAGGTTTGTTGACAATTTTATCAACTCTGGAATTCCTTGTCGGATGAATTTTACTCGGCAAGATGTTTGTTGATGGTTTTAATCAACTTTAGAATTCCTTGCCGAGCTGATCTTGCTCGCCGAGCTAACCTTGCTCGCCGACCTTAGAGTTCCTTGCCGAGATGATCTTGCTCGCCAAAAAGAAAGTCGCAGAGGAGACCTTGCTCGCGACATTGGAGTTCTTTGCTGAGCTGATCTTGCTCGCCAAGAAGCAAGTTGCCGAGCTGACCTTACTCCTCGACCATGGAGTTCTTTGTCGAGCTGATCTTGCTCGCCAAGAAGCAAGTCGTGAAGTGGACCTTGTCCGCTAACTTTTGAGTTCCTTGCCGAGCTGATCTTGCGCGCCAAAAAACAAGTCGCGGAGCTGACCTTGCTCGCCGACCTTGAAGTTCCTTGCCGAGCTGATCTTACTCGCCAAGAAGCAAGTCGCAGAGCGGACCTTGCCCACCGACCTTTGAGTTCCTTGCCGAGCTGATCTTGCTCGCTAAGAAACAAGTCGTCGAGCGGACCTTGACCGCCGACCTTGGAGTTCCTTGCCGAGTTGATCTTGCTTACCTAGAAGCAAGTCGTCGAGCTGACCTTGCTCGTCGACCATGGAGTTCCTTGCTGAGCTGATCTTGCTCGCCAAGAAGCAAGTCGTCAAGCTGACCTTGCCCGCTGACCATGGAGTTTCTTGCCGAGCTGATCTTGCTCGCCAAGAAACAAGTTGCCGAGCTGACCTTGCTCGTCGACCATAGAGTTCCTTGCCAACCTGATCTTGCTTGCCAAGAAGCAAGTCGCCGAGCTGACCTTGCTCGCCGACCTTGGAGTTCCTTGCCGAGCTAATCTTGCTCGCCAAGAAGCAAGTCGCGGAGCGGACCTTGCTCGCCGACCTTTGAGTTCCTTGCCGAGCTGATCTTGCTCGCCAGTCAGCTCGCCGACCTTGGAGTTACTTGTCGAGCTGATCTTGCTCGCAAAGAAGCAAGTCGTCAAGCGGACCTTGCTCGTTGACCTTGGAGTTCCTTGTCGAGCTGATCTTGCTCGCCAAGAAGAAAGTCGCGGAGTGGACCTTGCCCCCCGACCATGGAGTTCCTTACCGAGCTGATCTTGCTCGCCAAGAAGCAAGTCGCCGAGCGGACCTTGCTCGTGACCTTAGAGTTCCTTACCGAGCTGATCTTTCTCGCCAAGAAGCAAGTCACCGAGCTGACCTTGCTCGCCAACCTTGGAGTTCTTTGCCAAGCTAATCTTGCTCGCCAAGAAGCACGTCGCCGAGCTGACCTTGCTCGTCGACCATGGAGTTCCTTACCGATCTGATCTTGCTCGCCAAGAAGCAAGTCGCCGAGCTGACATTGCTCAACGACCTTGGAGTTCCTTGCCGAGCTGATCTTGCTCGCCAAGAAACAAGTCGTCGAGCTGACCTTGCTCGCTGACCTTGGAGTTCCTTGCCGAGTTGATCTTGCTCGCCGACCTTGGAGTTCCTTACCAAGCTGATCTTGCTCACCAAGAAGCAAGTTACGGAGCGGACCTTGCTCGCCGACCTTTGAGTTCCTTGCCGAGCTGATCTTGCTCACCAAGAAGCAAGTTGCCGAGCTGACCTTGCTCCCCAACCTTGGAGTTCCTTGCTGAGTAGATCTTGCTCGCGAAGAAGCAAGTCGCTGAGCGGACCTTGCTCGCGACCTTGGAGTTCTTTGCGGAGCTGATCTTGCTCGCCAAGAAGCAAGTCGCCGAGCTGACCTTGGAGTTCCTTGCCGAGCTGATCTTGCTTGCAAAGAAACAAGTCGCGGAGCAGACCTTGCCCACCGACCTTTGAGTTCCTTGCCGAGCTGATCTTGCTCGCGAATAAGCAAGTCGCCGAGCTGACCTTGCTCGCCGACCTTGGAGTTCCTTGCCAAGCTGATCTTGCTTGCCAAGAAGCAAATTGCGGAGTGGACCTTATCCCTCGACCATGGAGTTCCTTGCCGAGCTGATCTTGCTTGCCAAGAAGCAAGTCGCCAAGCGGACCTTGCTCGTGAACTTGGAGTTCCTTGCCGAGCTAATCTTGCTCGCCAAGAAGCAAGTGGTGGAGTGGACCTTGCTCGCTGACCTTGGAGTTCCTTGCCGAGTTGATCTTGCTCACCAAGAAGCAAGTCGCCGAGCGGACCTTGCTCGCGACCTTGAAGTTCCTTGCCGAGCTGATCTTGCTCGCCAAGAAGCAAGTCGCCGAGCTGACCTTGCTCACCGACCTTGGAGTTCTTTGCCGAGCTGATCTTGCTCGCCAAGAAGTAAGTCGCTGAGCTGACCTTGTTTGTCGACCATGGAGTTCCTTGCCGAGCTGATCTTGCTCGCCAAGAAGTAAGTCGCTGAGCTGACCTTGGTCGCCGACCTTGGAGTTCCTTGCCGATTTGATCTTGCTCGCCAAGAAGCGCGTTGACGAGCTGACTTTGTTTGCCAACTTTGAGGTTTCTAGACCTAGCAAAGTGAACCACCGAGCAAAAAGTCTAGCCCGCTTTGTAATGTAATTCTGGTCACGCAAATGCGGACAGAATTAAGGGGCAATTGTGAGGGAGATTTCATAATCTGGCTTTGGGCCGTGGTAATGACCGGGCTAAGATTGGACCAGGCGTGTTTGGGCCGAGCTGGACTGGGCCGTTCTAAGGGAAGTTTGCTCGGTTGAAGTCCAGACCCGATTTGGCTGAGATCATTCTCTGCTAGCTCGGTTTCTATTGGTCGCTCGTTTAGCTCGGCAAGTAAGGTCCTCCCCAGACCGGCTCAACCGAGAAGGAGCTCGGTCATAGCAGGGGGCTACTGAGCTTGGTTGTAATGGAGCTCGGCGAGGAGCATTGTTTGTCTCATAAAGTAACACGGTCGTAGGAGGCTGGGTTAGTGTCGCCGGGCTGCCCGTTCGCGCCAACGCCGTTTGGCGGTTTAGTTAGGTGGTGCTTAGCTGAATTTGCGCTGACACGTAGGAGAGCAGGTCCACGTGTCAATGGGCGAATGGATGCAGAGATGAGCGCAGGAAGTATATAGACGTGACTGCGCCCCCCATGCTGAGGATGGAACATCGTTTGGTGAGAAACACTCATTGTGATATATTTCTCTCCTCTTTCTCTCTCTCTCCCTGAGTGTGTGTGCTAACTTGACCGTCGGAGGGATTTTTCGGCAACACACCGCTGAGTAGCTCACCGCCGTTGTGTTCGCAGGTCGATCGGGTAGACAAGGAGCTTGGACGAAAAGAGTACGGGCACTGTGGAATATTTGCTCCCCACACAGTAGGCTTAGGGTTTCTTTTTCCAAATTAAGAATTATGGTAATACATTTTAAGAAAAAAAATTATAATAACAACCATCATATTTAAATTGATACGTTTACAGAGTTTAAAATTTAAACTTAAATTTATATAAATATAATTTTGGACAATCACCGCCGTTGTGTTCGCAGGTCGATCAGGTAGACAAGGAGCTTGGACGAAAAGAGTATGGGCACTGCGGAATATTTGCTCCCCGCACAGTAGGCTTAGGGTTTCTTTTTCCAAATTAAGAATTATGGTAATACATTTTAAGAAAAAAAATTATAATAACAACCATCATATTTAAATTGATACGTTTACAGAGTTTAAAATTTAAACTTAAATTTATATAAATATAATTTTGGACAATCATTGCAAGACATAATGTTATATGGAACATTTAACAATTTAAAATTTATAAAAAAAAAATATATTTTAGAAGTAAAAAGTAAAAACCATGCATCTATTAGTTTTTAATTAATAATTTTGACTTATGAAATATATGTTACATTAAACATTTTGACACAAATTCTTTAAAAAAAACATATATATATATATATAACTGAATAAATCACACCAAATATGGGTTATATTTTGAAACTGTGTAATCTTAAATCTAAAAAAATTACTTTAGCTTATTAATTTTGCACAATTTTGCTATATGTAAACTTAATCATGATTGATTTTGAAAATTTGCTAGAGTACTTTATAATTTGCTATTAGTAAATAAATTTAAGGTATTTAAAAGTATCTATAAACACGATTATAACCTCCAAAAAGAAGAGAAAAAAAGAAAAGAAAAAAGTTACATGTTATAATAAAGAACAACTAAAAAACTCGTGGTTAAAAAAAAATATAGACACACAATTTATTTTTATTTTTTATTATTTTAAATATGAACACAGAGGTATCTTTTTTACATATTGAATCGTCACAAACCCTCCATTAGAAATTAACTTTTTAATAGAATACTTTAGCCAATATAAAATATTCTAGCAAATAACATACTTTGATAATAGAAATTTACCAAATCATAAATGATTTTGGAGTTGATCTACACTTTAGACCTCCTTCTTGACTATACCGCACTTAGCCATGAATTTAGAAAAAAAAAATTGTGACATAATCAATGGAAAATGAGAGGGAGATTAATGATATGGAATTGGACCGGACAGAATTGTGCCAGACAGATTTGGGCCGAACAGGTGTTGGGCCAAGTTGTGTGGCCCGGCCTTGAAGGAAGCTGCTCGGTTAAGGCAGCGCATGGATTGACCGAGCTGCAAGGATCCGTGGTTACGAAGCCGGTCAGGTGAAAAGTCCAGCGCCAGGGAAGGCAAGGTTGGACCGAGGTACTTGTTTGCTTGGCAGGTAGGTCGACCGCAGATAAGCGTGAGTTGTCCCGAGCTCAGCTTTGCCAAGATGCCGCCGAGTCCGGTCCTCATCTGAGCTTAGCTGTTGGAGTACTTGGGCATGAAGCGCAGCATGGCAGACGATGGCCGAGATGGTACCGCCCGGCTGCCGAGCTCCCAGGAGAATGGGCAGGCAGTTGGATTAGGTGGTGCTCAGCAAGGTTTATGCTGACAGATGGGATAGCAGTGCCACGTGTTGAGAGGTCACTGGGAGTAGATTTTGAGTGCAGAAGGTATATAAGCACGTCTGCGCCCCCCATACGTGGGCAGATGAATATTTGGTGAGACATACACTAAACACTCAACACTCTCCCTTCTCTCTATCTATCCCCTGGTGTGTGTTCTAACTTGACCG